GGGATGGTATCCGACAAGATGGTTCCAAAGTTTCACTTCCACAAGCCATTTGAGACTCGAATAGAGGATCAAAGCGAGTGGGAGGAAAGGTTTAATACCCTGGAAAGGTGGAGCCTAGTATGGTTTACAGATGGCTCCAAAATGACCAGAGGGACGGGTGCAGGAATATATGGACTCAGACCCAGATGGAGTGCAAGCTACAGTCTGGGGGAGTTCCCTACTGTATTCCAAGCAGAAATCTTCGCGATAATGGCGTGTCTGGCAGAGAATGTACGTAGAGGTTATAGACGTAAACTCATATATATATTCTCTGATAGTCAAGCTGCAATTAAAGCTTTAGCCGCACACAAGGTAAGTTCAAAACTGGTGTGGGACTGTTTACAAATGCTAACTGAACTGGCCACCAACAATACAGTCAGACTGTGTTGGGTGCCAGGGCACAAAGGCATTTGTGGAAATGAGAAAGCGGATGAACTTGCGAGGAAGGGATCCGAAACAGTGTTCATTGGCCCGGAGCCCTTCTGTGGCACATCTCCCAGTGTGGTCAGGCGGGCTATGGGCAAATGGACAGAGACAGAACATAGGAAATACTGGACTTCAAGGCCAGGACATAGCCATTCCAAGGAGCTTATGGAGTATCCTTCGAATGGAAGAGCGAATGAGTTACTGAGCTTGAATAGAATCCGGCTCAGGAGAGTGACAGGACTCATAACGGGACACTGTCACTTTAGGAAACATCTACATAGACTAAAGCTTGTAGACAGTCCGGTCTGCCGAGGATGTGAATCGGCGGATGAAACTTCTCTGCATATCCTGGGCGAGTGCCCGGGATTTGCACGTAGCAGAATGGCGCTCCTTGGGAGACCCTATTTGGAACCCAAGGAGCTGAGAGAAGTGTCAGCAAGGAAGCTTTTGGACTTTGTAAAAAGGACAAATCTACTTGCTGAATAGGACTAGTAGTGGGACGCACAATAGGCCTAATTAGGCCGCAGTGCTATGGGACTTTTGAAGGACCAACCACTAGATGATGAAGAAGAAGAAGAACACTTCGATTTATTTAAAACTAATTTAACAATGCTATAATTTTATTATTAATATTATTGCTAATGTGTGAATTTACGCAGTGTGTTATATTAACATTGAAAAAAATAGTTATTTATGTACCAAGGGAGATACAGGGATGAATATGCCCGCAGGCGACAGGTTACAAGTCGCCTAATAAATGTTGTCGGTGATTGTAAATTTTCGGGTAACGTTGATTTTGGCAGTGTAGCCAACTTAGGGGTTTTCCCCCTAATTTTAGACGTAAAAAAATTTATCCGGTTTTTTAGGGGTTAAAAAATGTTTCTGAGACTGAAAAAAATGAGAATTAAAGCGTATAAGGGTAAACGCGACGAAAATCGAAAAATTGGCTAATTGTAAGTTTGAGCGGCCATATATCAGTCGATTTTCATCCAAAAATACTTTACCTCTTATTTTGAAGGAAATTTTATCTACTTTTTTTCCATGAAGCAATGCCTATACCTATCTTTACTCAAAAAAAACTAGTGTCAAAAAAGTAAAAAAAATTAAAACATTTTTTGCTTTTTTCAAATTGTTTATTAACGATTTTTTGCATAAAATTTTCGTTTTAAATTTTTTAAATAAGCCATTTGATGGGGAATTCTATTCTCTAAATAAATTTTTCTATGAACTATAGCGAAATTTTGCTTCGTTTTCAAGATACAATTAAAAAACTGAAAAACATACGTGACTTCTTTTTTAATAGACTATTCTAGGAATAATCCAAGGCCAGATACGAATTTCTCATACCTGATTTGCAAAAACAAGTGTTCTTAAACACAGTGCTGGCTCTTGACTTCCATACCATGGAGGGCGGAAAAATTTAGGTAGGTACAAATTATTGAAAAAAAAATCAAATCGGGTAGTTTTATTGTTAAGTCTATTGAAATATAGGGAAAATGTGCACAACATTATTTTTTATAGTGAATTAGTCTATTTTGCTTTTGTCCGAAATAAATTTTTCAATTACTTTTTCTTCAAAGTTTGGCATTTCCACACCATCGATTTTTCAATATATATATCATTGCAAGGGCTGTTAGTCTCTCTTTACTATCCAAATCTAACAAACTTTCTTTTGACGATTTGGGGGCTTACACTAAAACAACAAAAGTTCTCTTATAAAACTCTACACTTATGAGGCTGACGGCAGCGTCCAGTAGTTTTTGAAGTTGATGATAAAAGTTTATTTTCGTCGCTACCCTCATTAATACAAAGAATGGCTCCTTCTAAGAGTGTCAACCTACTGGTTTTCATGATATCATCTTTGTTAAAATGATCAGAAGAATTACACATAGCTTTTCACCGTGTATTGCTTTCATCCCGATTCATGCTAAGGACATTTCGCCATTGACGAAATCTATGTCATTTTCAAGAAAACTAGAAAAAAAACACGACCAGTATAAAAAGCAAGTGTGTAAAACATATCGGTGAAATAAAATCGTTTAATATTTTTGCAGCTTCTAACAAAACACATTTTCTTAATTTACAAATTATATTTCTTAAAACAAGTCAATAATACTAAATTCTCATAAAAACAACACTATCATCCTATTTAAATAGGAAAATCGGGAAATAACCTCAAAAGTAGTTCAGAAGTTCAGTAAACATCAAAATATAAACAAATCAGAAGAAGAAGAGAGTACATCAGTACATCGTTTTCTATCCCCCGTTTATTGCGCGCTTCTTGGGCGCTTTCGTTTTGACAAACATAGTACCTATTACTACGAGCAACTTTGCTCGTAGCCCTATTAGCAACTAATATCAGTTCAGAGTAACTCTAAGTTACTAATAGCTACTATTTTTGCCAAGTCGAAAGATCACCTTTGTCGCTGTTCAAAAACTCCAAAACCTACTATTACTGCACTCGTAGAGATCTTAATTTATTTTTTTCTCTCTCTCTCTAAAACTATATAACAATAACAAGATTAACAAGGATAAAGCTAGGAAACCTGTAAACCTGTAAACTCTTCTCTCCTGTAAACTCCTAGAAACAATTTGTGTTGCTTAGTGATGGGCATAACCGACCAATTTTGATAATCGAGTTATCGGTAATCGAGTGATCACTCGAGATACGAGATATTGGTCGTTTTCATCCCAGCGGCGTACAAATATGTTTGTATTAGTCATATATTACTTATAAGCGTAGCTAAAAAAAAAAAAAAAACTCACGCAAAAAAAAAGGTTACGCAATCAGTGACTATTTGCAGTATGCACTAACATTTTGGGGTACAACCGTAGGGTAATAATCACTCGAGTGGTGGGAGTAAACATCTCGAGATATCTCGAGTGATCTCAATAATCGAGTACAACTCGATTTTTCACTCGACATCTCCCATCACTAGTGTTGCTGAACTTTGTCAAAACGAAAACACCTCGAGTAGTTCTGGCCTTATCCTTATTTTATAGGTTATAAATTCTTTTTTATCAAGGAAACCGGAAAAATAAATATAAAAATGGAAGGTTGTAAAGGAATATTTTGCAGACTTTGCGTTAATATTGTGAGCAATACAAATTTTACAGTAATAGACGAATCTATAAAAGGAATTTTAAGGACAATTTCACAGAATCTGGTAATTCATCATGTATTATTAGTAGCATTGTAGTCTATTGAAGAGTTACATTTGGGGTTGCAAAAGTCAGAGCACGCAATTTTATTTTTTGGATCTCGAGAGGGGGTTAATGTAAAGTTAAATCCATGTTTGTGGGGTCGCAACCCTTGTGCTTCGGCGGCCATCTTGTAAAAAGGGCTGCGCGAATGGTTTTTCTACTACTAACTATATCGGGCAAACTATTCGTCACACAGAAAATTTGTAAAAACATTTTTTTGTTGCAAATTAAATTCTCTACAACTTTGGTTCCGTAACTTTTAGTCGTAGAACCAAAAATAACAAATTTATTAACGAAAATATATTAAAAAATTTGGGAACAAATTTTCTTTTGGTCGTTATAACTTTTTTCTGGCCATTTTACAAAAAAATTTCATCAGAGCATTTTGATAATGGAATAATTTCCATTACAAACTTTTTTCAAATTTTATTTATTAGGATTTTACAGCAATGCGAAACTTACACGATTCTCCAGTACTAGTAAGTAAACTGGAAGAATACTTTGAAGGACGCCTCCTATGCCTAATCATTCATATTAATGTATACTTACTAGTACTGGAGAATAGTGTAAGTTTCACATCGATGTAAAACCCTAATAAATAAATAAAATTTGAAAAAAGTTTGTAATGCAAATTATTCCTTGAAAACACCTCTATCAAAATGCTCTGATGTAATTTTTTTGTAAAATTACCAGAAAAAAGTTATAACAACCAAAAGAAAATTTGTTCCCAAATTTTAATCTATTTTCGTTAATAACTTTGTTATTTTTGGTTCTACAACTAAAAGTTACGAAACCAAAGTTGTAGAGAATTTAATTTGCACCAAAAAATGTCTACAAATTTTCTCTGCGATGAATAGTTTGCCCGATATAGTAAGTAGTACTATAAAAACCATTCCTTTTTACAAGATGGCGTCCGAGGCACAAGGGTTGCAACCCCATAAACATAGGTTTAACTTTACACTAACCCCCTCTGACTTTTGCACGCGAAGTCCAAAAAAATGTAACATTTCAATGGATTACTGCTAGTTACAATCATTTTACTCTTTCAATAACAAAAGATATTTCAGGACTTTGACAACAAATATGCAGGTGTCATATGTTCTACCTGTTCTGTTAAACTGTACTCTGCATTTGGCTTTAAGTCCACTTGTCTCTATGTTGAGGACAAGATTGTTTCTTACGTTAATCCCAAAATATCATTCGTCGACTTAAGGGAAGTATATTTAATGGAATATGACAACAAACAATTAATTAAAATGGAAAATGATCAGAAAATATGTCGATTATGTTTGCAGTTGGTTAACGAAGGCTGTTATGAAGTGAAATTAGAGATGATTCATAGATACATCCCAGAAGTGGTAAATATCCATCTTGCTGATTTTTTAAAGCATATAAATTAATACCAAAATCTTAATTAACTCTTGTTGTAGAATTTTTCCATCACCGAGAATCCCANATTCGTCGACTTAAGGGAAGTATATTTAATGGAATATGACAACAAACAATTAATTAAAATGGAAAATGATCAGAAAATATGTCGATTATGTTTGCAGTTGGTTAACGAAGGCTGTTATGAAGTGAAATTAGAGATGATTCATAGATACATCCCAGAAGTGGTAAATATCCATCTTGCTGATTTTTTAAAGCATATAAATTAATACCAAAATCTTAATAAACTCTTGTTGTAGAATTTTTCCATCACCGATAATCCCATCGTTTGTAGGCAATGTTTTGATTCACTTAGCACTCACCTTACATTCATAAAAACCTGTTTAGATGTTGAAACAAGAATTGATATATGTGATAACAAAATGCCACATTTTGAGCATAGTAATATATTATTGAAAAGCAAAAACGAGGAAATGGAATTAGGAGAGGAACAGAAGTTAGAAGGGTTAGTTAAAACCAAAAAAGAGTTAGAACCGGAAGAAATACTGATTAATAGCAAAGAAAAGTTAGAAGGGGTAGTTAAAATCAAAAAAGAGTTAGATCCGGAAGAAACACTGATTAATACCGACGAAGTCAATGTAAAAAGTGAAGGAAAATGTAGAGGAAGGTGAGGAAATTTAGAGAAATTTAGATATATTAGGTAAATACTGTGCGTGAACGTTTTCTTCGGGAACATATGTTGCCCGAGTGTCACGCCGCTTTTTTTTGAATGCAGATTGTGTAAATTTTGAGAATATGGGGCAATTAAGGATGGAAACTGATGCACCCCTGGTTGCCTATATTATACTGAAAAGTAGTAGAAAACAGTCCTTTTTTTATTCTAATATATCTTTTTAAAGCAATGGAAGAAAGTAGTAAAATTTCATATCATATTTGGCAAAGTATAAATGAAGACAGTAAAGCAAAAATTAATTGGGATAGGTAAATAATTTGTAAGAAATTAATTTCTAAATATGAAGGTTTTTTGGACTTTTACAAACAAACGATTGTTTCTTCATAGTATTATAGAATTATGTAATTTTTTATATAGTTCTCTTTTAATAAATAAACTGATTAGACTTTGTTTCATAGTTTGTTCACCACTTTATTATTTAAAAAGTTATATTGGAATAAAATTATAAAAAAATATTCATTCATAAATCACATTATGTCTGACCTTTAATTTGCTTAATTTGTAATAGATGTCGCACTAGTAAAAATTAATTTTTGAATGGACTTGAGTTCTTTTTAACGAACAGCTATTGTATTGTGGTCAATTTGGAATAACCGGATTCTGAATTGGTAGTCGTGGTTTCTGTTAATTTATAAGTAAATATTTAAAGAATGTCATGATCATTTTAGATATATTATTGTATAAAACTATATAACTAACAGTGCAAATTCATACTATTTTATAATTTTAGGAAATATGAAATATAAACAATTTTTAGTTTATTTAAAACAATAATTTATAATTAATATACATATATTAGTGTGTCTACGGTTAAAGTGGATAAGAGGGAAACATTTTTATTTTCAATTTTACTAGAAAAAGTAATTCGTGACAAAAAATATTTTGCTTTTTAATTGAATATGGTTGTCATGAAGAACTTTAATTTCATATATACAGGGTGATCAGAAATTTAACAAAATTAATAATATTGAAGAATAAACTGTTTTTGTTTTTGATAATCTAAAAAAATGTTAATAAGAAAAGTTATTCATAATGGAAAGTTATGTTATAATTACGATTTGTGAATAAAGCGGCTTACTTTGGTATAAACAGAAATGAAAAAAATATATATTTTTAATAATTAATATTAAGTAATTCTTGATAAAAAAAATTCGCGTGTTAATATAAATAGAATTTTAACTGTGAATATACATAATAACGAGAACATTAAAATTATGTACGATATACTTATTTTGTCCAAAAATTGTGTAAAGAATTATGTACAAAAGGACAATTTGATACTAAATTTTTTTTATAAGAAATATTCAGTTCATACTTTTTACATACTTGAAAAAATAGTTGTAGTTTAATACTTCCAATATAAACAGAAATTCTGTGGAACAGTGTAGTTTAATAAATATGTAAATAAACGAAAATAATAAAGAAATACATAGAGTAGGTACAGTAAAACAGGAAAAAATTAAATCTTTTCGTATGCAATTATGCGATAGCAAAAGAGTGGGATGGACGTATAAGCTGGACAACTCATCATCGTGCACGTGCACGTGCACCTGACGTACCGTCATTTTCTCGTTTTTTTTAGGTGTATTTTGCCAGAATTTGAATAAATGAAATAATCGTACTATTTTTACTATAAACGTATTTCCTGTAGCGACATCTATAAGAATATTGTAATACTTTGTTAGATGAAACGGGACTTCAATTTCCGTTCTTAATTTAGAAAGTAAATTTTTCAAAATTGGAGTTACCATTTCTCAACACTGGTACTATTTTCACGAAAACAACATCCTATCCTCTCTCTTGATGTGGTTCTGACCTTCCAGCTAACCCCTCAGCATAGAACTACTTAGTGTGTTTACATTTGTTGCTTATACTTCAATCAAGAAGGAGCAAATTGTTCTGAATAGCTATGAAATTAATACCATAATCCTCAACAACCGTCTCAGTCTGCTATAAATGTACTCCGCCGCCTCCTACGTGCGTATCTCTGCACCAATTTAACCTGGTGGATTATATACGATTGCATTACCACTGAGTTACGACGACGCCCGAGGTGCTGGACGGTAATCCTTTGACGGTGTTGCCGATTCAGCTCAATTTGTGCCAAGTCTAATGATAAGTTTATTTCGTGTTTGTTAAGACCTTCAATGTTAGTGTTATTTCTCCAAGGACTGGGACTTCCATGCAACAGGGAATTTAGCAGCGCGTCTTTGGACACCTTCTAATTGCAGAATATCTTGCATTAGAACAGGAGGCCATATACTTACAGCAAACTCAAAATCTTGGAAAGATCTTCTTACAATTTTGGAGACATGAGCACTCCACGACAATGACTCTCTAATGATAACGCGAAAGACATTATTCTGTGACCAAAATATTTAGGTTTGGCCTTCAATTGTCTAATTTAACGTTGGTTCGTTTTTGAACATCTCCAACTAAACTTTAGAGCAATGACCATTTCAAGGATCAACGGTTAATGAGATTAACGTCATATTGTAATATCAAAGAAGGTGATGAGAAGAGGTTGAAGGCATAGGAAAGCGATCTAGGTGCACAGTTCTGATACATAAATCAGAAACATGATAGGACCCAGAACTGGACCCTGGGGCACACCCCTTAAAATTTCCTTGTCTTATGAACAAAATAGTAAATAAATAGTCTTTTCCGCTGCTTCAGCATATTTCTCCGGACGGTTGGCAACCCCGCGTATTTGTATAACTGCCTTCATAACAGTACGCCACTAAATATGAAGCGGTCTTAATAAGAACCCGACAAGTCCATGTTTCCACGTAATTGCCTGTACACATACAGTTATTATATTCACTTTATGGGGGATATTCGGAATAAACCAGTCGAGGAGGTTAATTGCTTCATAAGCATTGACACGCTCGGAGTTCGGAACGGGAGGATATCTACCGCGGCACAGCGAGAGGCGCGCCATCCCGAGAAGCTAAATGGGCTCTTACGCCGAAATTCGAATAGCGCTCGATCACGGGATATTAACTGTCCATTCGCATAACGAGGCAAAGCGAAAAAATTAATTACTTTAATATATGAATACACGAACACAGAATTCAACGTTGTAATACAAGTTTTCGCTTCGTGTGACGTCACACCGTGCGTGTATTGCAGGCCGCTGTTCTAATAAATATTTCGGCATGTTCTGTACTGATTGATTTTCAGTTTATCAAAGATAAAACGCGTCTGTGCTTATGTATTGTGGATGTGATTTCTTATGACAATTTTATAGCGCTGTTTACTTCGTAAAAATGTTTATTTTTATGTTTTTGTGCAATAATACGACCGTTACAACACTAGAAGAAATATTTGTATTTGTAAGAGTTCCTTGGTTTGGCTTTGAAACTTTAGATCAAGCTTAAAAGGTGTGAATGTTTTTTCCATCAGATAAAATGCATTTCGCTCAGTGTATGTCGAGTCAACTGCTTATAAAAAAAATTCTGTCCGACAACCGATGCAGTTCCGAGCATTTGTAGATCTAAATATAACACTGAAGGAATCAGAATTGTCTACGAGAGAACGGGTTCGTGACTGCACGCCGCTATCGTACAATTTATCATCGATACGTTTGCATATAATTAATTTGCATTAGACTGCGACTAAAGCGCTTAAAAGCGAATTTATCAATTAATCTGCTACAAGCTGTTGAGTGCATAGAGCACGACCCTGTGATAAAAATGTCCGTTTTCATTAGAAATTGAAATAAATTCAGGAGATACCACTAATATGCCTCGCAACGGACGTGATACATTGCTCTGAACGGAGCATAAACTGTGGAGCACAAATTATAGGCAACCGTAAGCGCATTATGAAAAAAAAAAAAACACTGGAAACGTTTTTAGTTTGAATCTAGCACAAGCTACACATTGAAACATAACAAAAAAATGTATTTATTTTTATACAGAGTGTTCCTTAAGTATCTTCCAATGATAAATTGAGTAATTCTCTGCTAATTAGGTTGTTAATTGTATAGGGACAGTGTATTACACAGGGTGTCCCAATATTCAATCACAATAAGCCGATTTAACATTTGAGAGGGTGGCAAAGTTGACAAAAAATACTGGGGACCCATTAAGTTCGTATATATTACAATTTGGAATCAAAATGGCCCTGTTCCCTAAACTAGGAACGGCAGTGTATCTCCAGACGAGACGTGAGGCCTTACTCCGCTGTGGTAAATGTGTGATAGCGATATTCGGTATAATTTTCCGCACTAGTTGTCTTCGTGCCGTGGATAGAGGCGATGTATTTCCGCTCGGGCGGATTTTCAATTGTTTTCTTCATTTCTATTCATGGACGATTCTTATAAACGTTCGCAAATAATGCCCGCGATCGCAGCAGTCGTGGATACGCATTAAATGCAAATCAAACATCGGCAGGATCGCCCCGCGGTGCCCGCCAGAGAACAAACACGTATAACGTTCCTAATAAATAACAATTCCCCGTCGCCTTTTTGTGGCGTCTTTTGAAACGAACGCGTTTCTGTTTATCGGCAGAGTGTACAAAATTTCACGCTTCAATCAGCCCGCAAGTTGACTTTTTAATCGTTTTGTAAAAAATCGTGATAATAAAAAGAAGAAGAAGAAGAAGAAGAGGGAGAAAAGTTGCAAGAACAATAACATTTCCGAGATCTAGTTTGTGTTAACATATTTTTTCGGAAACCAAGCTGTACGGAACTTAAAATATTAAGATACGTCGCAAAATACATATACAGGGTGGGCCATTAGTGTGAGAAAGTAAAATAACTCCCTTGTTACTCATAATACAGAAAAAAAAGTTTATATAAAAGTTATACAGAATCAAGAAACCTAAACTACAAAATTAATCTGATATATACAGGGCGATGAGTAAAAACGGGACACGCCAAATATTACATTTTTTAAATGGAACACCCTGTATATTTTTAAACATATGAA